GTGTAGCATTATTTATAAGTTTCCAATTGAGCTTCCTGAAGCAAAATCTTTAATCACAAAACATTCACACATCCATCATGCACAACTGAAGTACTACATAAACTTCGCTTAAACTTTTTTTTAATCAAACAGTTTAAACAAATGTTACCTTCCTGCCAAATTTTTATCAGTGAGGCAAGTACTACTTGATGTACTGTATTTCTAATAAGAGGCAATTGAATTTCAACTCGAAAAGATTAAAAGACACAGAACTCCAGCTGTAGACAATAATTTGCTCTGTCAAATGTTTTTGTTGCTAAACTATTTTAGGCAAATGGAAAGTTTGAGAAAAGAACAGAACAAGATAAAAATAGTTCAGACAACTCCCAAATTACATTTTGCCCGCTAGCCTCCTGCTCTTTTTAAAACACTATTTAAACAAGTTTTTACATTATTAGTTTTCTAGCAATGTTAATCAATAGATCAAACTGCGAAGGAGAGTTTTTGCCTAAACCTTTAACAATCTAAATGAGAAATTAGACATTCCATTACAGATAAAATTTAATGTATTCCTTAAACAAAGATTTCTTACAAATTTGTTTTAAACTGGATATGTATGTAATGAGTAAATTACTTCAGAACAAGTGGAACATTTTATTACAAATATTTTATCTTTTATTTTCAATTAAATTGCTACATCAAATTATTATAAAATTAATTGTGGCCTTTACATACCAATCAGCATCATTGCTAATGCTAGTATATTATTTCTAATTATCCATTGTGGGAAAAAGTTCTAGGAGGCAGCTGTATAAATAAATAAATAAATAAATAAATAAATAAAGTTACCATATCAAGAACAAAGCTAGACATGTAACCAAATAAATATGGAATAACAACTTATTTGTTGTAATTTATTTCAAAGGTAGGACCTCATCTGCTCTCCTGTAATATACAATTATTTAATTAATGCAGCAGACTCAGCCAACTTAATGTTTCATAAAATCCCCCCAAACCATTATTCATTCTTTCACTACAAAAAGTAATGCAACTGAATAATGTAATGAGCAGCCACAACATCAAAGAAATGAGCCGTTCCAGTACTATATTATTTTTCTTTTATTTACAGATATTAACATTCAAGAAAAGGAAGTATAAAACTATAGGGTCAAGAAATGGCTTATTTTAATTAAATATTTTACATATAAATGGGTTGGCTTCCTTCCCTGAGCTGTTGGCATCTATCTCAATTGTTTCCTACCTTTTATTCTGAATCAATCTAGGTGAAATAACTATTTTTCTTAGCAAACTCTATAACAAGGGCAACTCATTCCAACTTTTATGCAATTAATGTGTGGCTGTTCAACTGATTTTAAGCTAGCCTATTTTCAAACTCGGAGGTCTATTCTGTGATGACAATTTAATGGAACCTCAAAAAGGAGCAACATAGAAATTATCAAATCAACCTATCTACCTCTTAGAAATGTTACTGAAAAGGTTATTTTGAATGTTATTGGCACAGACCATCCACCATCATTCACACTCATGCTCCATTATCTAAACCATTTCCCCCCAACTGTTAGACATGTCTGAGAATTTTGTGAGTCCTCTATGACACATCTGGATGGCATCAGACTATAAAATATTAACCCAAACTATTTATTTATTTTATTTATTTATTTTTGGGGGGCAGTATACTGTATGTTAATTGTTTTCTTGTGTCCCTTTTCTAAACACTTTGTTCAGTCATTGTCTATTTGCTCTAACAGAACTATTAAGCATTTGTATCATCAGTCCTAATTGATTATTCCAAGCAGAATTTGGTACTGCAAAGAGATATGAAAAGAACTCTCTCTTTCCATTCTTTCTGGTACCTTACCTGAGTATCTGAGCACATTTGAAATGCAGTAATTTGTTCCAATGCCTGTTTGAAAAGCCAAATGAACTAAAGAAATTCTCACACAATTTTTCTTTGATCTAATCACATATGTTGCTTAAGGCTACAGAAACACACACACACACGCACGCACACTCTACATCAAGAGCATTCAACTTCTGTGATAAGAAAAGTTGAATTCAATGACTTACATAAATTAAAACACACAAACACATATACAAGATTCCCTCATTCCCTGGATTTTATTCTGCCACTCCTGATCACAGAGAAGGGAAGATTGTCTACAAGGGGTTGAAGACCTGCCACTGATTTTACCCTGTGTTCCCTCTGACTTCTAAGATTTCACCAGGCACCCTCATGTTTTTACACATATCTTAGCAAAGATAGGAGCTGGAAGCTTTTTTGATGCTGATTCATTCGCTATTCTTGTTTTGCCATGACGTTTGCCTCTTCTCAAATTATGCCATATTTTTATGCATCTCAAAACACCACATTCCTAAATATTGAATGGGAAAAGGGAGAAAAGGAAGAGCCAAATATATATCTTTTTATAATATATTGGAATATATACTTCCTTGGCCAAGGTTGTGTAAGTAAACCTATAACACAGATGCAAACTTTAAGAGACTGGTAGTTAAGAAGGATACAATGACTGCATGATGCTATCACCTTTTCCTTCTTTCTTAATTGGAGTTTGATTCAGCAAAAGATAGCAGCCCACACTATCGGGCAAACCACAATTCCACCCCAGAACAGAGTCATTGCATTTAAGTGCATTACCTTTACCCAGTAAGGTAATCATATTCCGTACCATGTCATTAGGGTTTTACTCACAATTTATGGTGCCTTTGATAATTGGCAAGTTTACCATTTTTCCATCAGCCATGTCATAGATACTATGTGTACAAAGTTATGGTTGGAAAGTAATGCTGTTATGACAATTTAAAAATTATTATTTCTAAGAAAATACATTAATTTCAGCTTATAGACAAGTATAAAAAATATTTAAATTCATGTCCTTTCCATGGATAAATCACTATAAGCAAGGCAGAAAAGAATCAACATTTATAAAACATTTTAACTTCTAAAATAGTCGTGATATAATTATGAATGTATACTTGGCCTTCTAAGCCACATTTATTAGCACTGTTCCAGAGCAACCTGCATATACATTTTAGTAAAATTTACAAAGTTGGAGTTATAGGTCTGCCATAAGTATGATGCAGGTATCAAACAAAGAAGACTCCAGGTTGAAATAGAAAGTGGAGGAGGAGGAAGAGGAGTGCTGTACCTTGCTAGTCGTTTTTTGTAAACATTACTGTTGTGCACTGAAACTCAGAATAGCAATAAAACAAATTAGGAGTTGCCTGGTGCTTCAGAAATCCAGGTCCAAAGAAATTATCTGGTTACCCCAAAAGCCTAAGTTTAATAGTCATCTTCATAATATCACTTGGCATAGAGTATCCTATATATAGTCCCCAGTTTAAGACTGAGTTCCGTTCTCAAAGTTTGTCCTTAAGTCGAATTTGTATGTAAGCTGGAACAGTATTACTGTATAATACTGTACAAGTAGTATTGTATAATTAACTTGAATCATTGTGTATTTAACTCAAATTTTGCTACAATAGGCTCTGTTCTTAACTATGGGTCATCCTTAAACCAGGTGTTCTTAACGGAGGGACTACCTGTATTTGATTTAAGTAAGAATTATTCCTGCTGAAAAGTATTTTCCATTTTACATCCACACAAGAATTTCTGGACAGTCATTTTTTTAGACTTTTTGTGAGAAACAGAAAAAAAATGAAATTACATTGTATGGATTTGATGATTAGAAA